AAAATCAATACATTCATCACTTCGTTCAGAATCTAAAAAACAAAAGATCAACTATAAATCAGCTATGTGAGGCCAGTCCTTTCGTATGCATGTGCCACGTGGGCAACAACGAAAGGTGATGAAGAGAAGCTACTAAGATTCGAAAGAAATATACTAAGGAAAATACATGGCCCAATAGATAGTCAGGAAGAACAGAAATGGAAAATAAGATCAAACAATGAATTAAGGGCGCTGTTTAAAACAGAAAACGTAGTTCAGTTCGTTAGGAGCATGAGACTAGAATTAATGGGGCATGTTTGGCGAGCAGATTGTTTGTATATAGTTAAAATGATTCATTTTTGGATTATTAAAAATCTTTATATGTTAGACTCTTCAGTAGGTACACAAATTAAAGTATATCTGCCGTATATTAATCAAACTAATTTCCGGTAACATAAATAGTTAATTGATTTGATAATTCGAAAGATGAAGACGAAAATGTTATGGCCAAATCATAGGCACCTAAATCATTTTTTAAGGGACTATTAGCTCATTATAGTTTCATTAAATGTATAATGACAGTTCATGCTACCCAGCATAAGATACCATAATAAGTTACCTTTAATGAGTGACTTTTCAAAGGACTTGACAAAATATATTGCTGGATAACTCCGACAATATTTTTGTCATATACTGGTCAATTAATTCTAAAAGATTATCTTAAACGAAAATGTCTACAAAAATGATATAACATTAAATACAGTTATAAACCATAATAATATTAAATCCTCATATGGAAAAATAATATATGTAGACATTGCTTTAAATAATTATTCAAACTATTTTGTTGGAACTTTTGGCCAAATTTATAGAGTTTATACGGAGTGTATGGTCCTCTGCACATAGTGGATGGTTAAAATAGTTATAGACAATTATAAGATTATAATAATATACTAGTTAATGTATAGTTAATTTTTTAATTATTATCATTCTTTGTAAGATTTTTATATTTTATATTGATTTGATATACTTTATAYACTTACACAATTAGGTTTCCTTTTAAAATGTATCATTTTAATTTATAATTCATTAGTATATTATATAATCTGTGGCTATGTAAACTGTAAAGGATATAACACGAAGCAAATATTAAAAATGCATTAAATAATAATTGAAGTTTAGAAAATGATTCTAAATTGAAAACAGCTTTATGTATTATCGTCTGTTAAGTTAAATAATATTTAAATTATGTTTTAATAAATATAATTAGTAAGAAATGTTCGTTTTTAATTATGGTGGAGAATACAATACTTCTTGTATTATTTAGATGATAAGCATAAATCATCTTCACCATATACTTCTTTCTACTAGTCATTTATTTCTACTTCTATTCATCAATCAACTTTCTTTATTTATGCTCATCAGTATAGGCGTAGTTTAGGACTACGTTTATTTTATTTTTGTAAACAAAATTTAATTTTTCAATAATTAAGTGCATTAAAAATATTGGTTTGGGCCAGGGTAGTCACTGCTCATTAGCCTACTTCTAATATTTGCAGCCATCTGTCACTATTTCAATTTATCAGACGTCTTATCTTATCACTAAGTACTTCTGTTCAGTCCATGATGGGTACACATTAAAATTATGAAAATACATTTTAGCTTATAATATAATACAATAAAAATATGTAGGTACCTACTGGCTACTATAAATATAAAGTAAAACATTGAGATTTAATATTAAGTAATATTTATTACTTTGCTGGCCAGAAATAATAATAATTTCATATTGTATACGTTCTGACAATTTAAATAAACCTTTTATAACATTTTTATTTCTTGAATAGATTTTTGAAAGTATACATAAAAACCATTAATTTGTTGTATGAAATGTTTATTCTCAATAAAAATACAAAACATAATATGCTATACATCGTCATCCTGTGTTTGTTGTTTTTCACGTCGTCGCCGCCCGTGGCCTTCGCCACTCCTATGATGATAGTCACAGATCAACCATCTGCAAAAAGTGACTTTCAACCTATGCAGAAGTCATCCTCATTGCTCGACTCCGTTGCCGGTCCAATGATGATGGCTTCCGACGAACCGACTAAAAACCGGAACTTTCAATACTGGCAGCAGCGATCGTCATCGCCTACCACTGTTGCTGCTCCTATAACGATGACCATCCACACACTGACTGAAAACAAAAATTTTCAACCCTTGCCACAGCCATCGTCGACGCCAGTCATCATGACCATCGATGAACCAACTATGAAACGAAAATTTCAGCGCTTACCGCAATCAT